GAAGAAGAAGAAAGAAGAAGAAGAAGAAGAAGAAGAAGAAGAAGAAGAAGAAGAAGAAGAAGAAGAAGAAGAAGAAGAAGAAGAAGAAGAAGAAAAGAAAAATCAGGGCCACCAAATAGCTCAGTGGATTAAAGCACCTGCAAGCAGATGCAGGGGCCAGGGATTCGATCCCTGGAGTGCACTGAGACAGCAATTGAGACTGGACATGGTGGCACAAGCCTGTGATCCCAGCTCTTGGGAGGCTGAAAATAGGCTGGTCACTTCGAGTCTGATCTAGTAGTGAGACCCTGAACAACCTGTAGACCCTTCCCTAAAATACAAAAAAGTAGAAAGAAAAAAGAAAAATTAGAGTCACTGATATCCAAATCATTTTCAAACTGGTAAAAGAAACAGGGTTTTAAACATAGGGGGCTGGGGAGATAGCTCAGTAGAATAAGCGCTTGCCTACAAGCACAGAGTCCTGAGATCAATCCTTGGTACTGCAAAATAAATAAATAATTAAAAATCATTTATTCATAATGGAATTATAAATACAAATTTCAATGAGTAAGGTCACAGGAAATCTGCTCATAATTCAAGGTGAAAGAGGGCAATTTCCTTTTCTACAGTGGAACAACTTATATAAAATTCCCCATTTTTTAATCTTTCTTTTCTCTTGTATCTTCACTTGTTTTGAACCCTCTGACTTAAAAATATTCTGATAACAATGTGGTATCTTGAATGAAACTAAATTAGGCATGTGCACTAAAATAAAACATGATAGTTTCTATTTGACTTAAACATTACTGGTACAGGCATAATTATAATGGAATAGGAAGTGGAAAATGAGATTGTTAATATTCTATTAAAAGAAACACTAAATAATTCTGCCCAAAGGACAAGACATTTCCTGGTAAAATACAGTTTTCCCTTCAGATTTTTTTAATCAGTCTGGAAATATTTCATAACTCCATAAGAAAGCCAAGCTTTCAACCATGAAATTGGTTCATTGCTGATTCTTTCTCCTCTTTTACAATTTTGTGGAAATTAATTGGCCCTGATTTTGATAAGGTATTAAAGGCTATTTTCATCTGCATCCATTAATGACAGCTTGGAATATTTAACATGTAAGAAACATTTAAAAAGCAAGAAATTTCTTAAATTTTCAAATAAGCAGATGTGCCCTTCCCTTGTGCAATTACATATTGTTTATACATATAATGAGAATTGTTTTAATTGCTTCTCCTAAAAGGTTAATTTCACACTAATGTAAAGACATATAATATGACAAATATGAGCCAATGACCATTCTGCTTGCTATATGTTACCTTCACTCTCTCTGCTCCCCTTTCTAGTTATCTACTATGTCCATCTGCGCCTTCAGTCAGGTTCTCCAGCTTTACCACACTTTTCTACAGATCCAAGAAGGTTGACCTACAAGCTGGAAAAACCATGCTTTCCTGTGACAGGGCGGGCCAAGTCGTACATGTAAGGATTCGAAATTCCAAGAGCGGGACATATGCCTAGTTACACTACATAGTAGAATTTCATGGCCAACTAATGTAAAAAGCACCTGAAAAAAATCTTTTTTTTTTTTTTTTTTTTTGGTGGAACCAGGGATTGAACTCAGGTCGTTGTGCTTGCCAGGGAAGCACTTATTCCACTGAGCCATCTCTCCGGCCCCTAAACTTTTTATTTTTAAAACTTGTGATACTTGGGGAATGTGCAAGGTTTATATGTGCACATGTTTGTATTTGAAAAATAATGCATATTTGTAATGATTTTATTTATAGAAGGGAATATATATTCAAAAACCTCTCATGTAAAATAGTAGTAACACAGTATATATTAAATTTTCATTATGACTTTGATGGTGCTTTTTAAATTCAGAACATAATAGCGATATCCTTAAGCTAATGAAATATGATAAACATGCAAATTAATTATCCCAATTAAGTCTCTTAAACGAAAATTAACTTTTATCAGTATGAAATGCTAATTAACTTTTATCAATATAAAGACGCATTAAAATATCAGTGTAGTCTTTGTACCTTTGCAATCGTGAACAGGTACACTCTCCCCTCCTCTTTCTTGAGGTCGTTCATGTACGTGGGCGCGCCCACCAGGAGGACATCCGTAATGGTGTCTCTATCCACATCCACCGAACACAGCACGCTACCAAAATAGGAGCCAATCTGAAGCAGCAAAGTACATGAGGCTTAGGAATCCTGAGACTTGCACACGTACAATATAATACTGCAGCGTGGTTAATCCACTCAGTGGACAAAAATGGAATGTTGAGTACTTGCAAGGTGTTGAGAAGAGAAAGATGCAGCGTGACCCCTTCCCTGCCCCGGCTAACACTTGGCTCTTCACCTCACTGTGCGGAACGAGAGCTAGGAACATGCCTCTGGAACACAGGCTCCAGAAACCCCCTCTAGAGCATCTGATGAAACGTCTCGCTAGCGTGGGATTCTGGGGAAAAGCACTTTAAAATGAGCGGTCCAGGTATTTCTGAGGCCAGCCGGCCACCAGGGAAACCCTCCACGTGCGGGACGTCACGCAGCAAGGCAGAGGCAGAAGTGGGGCAGACAAGTCAGTGAGTTGCAGCGCCTAGCGCACTGTCACAGAAGCTGCGATCAGAGCGCACGGGGGGGCGGGGGGGGGCTGGGGGCCCGGAAAGACACAGCACCCCTGGAATTCACCCTAGGCAAGGCACGTTCCTGTGCGGATGGAAATGGGTGAGGGCGGGTGATGCCTGCATGGCCTGGTCTGGGATGTGTAAGGAGCTGCCAGGTAGAGCAGGGCGCGGGGAGGAGAGGCAGACAGCCGTGAGAGAGGTGGGAACAGGAGCACGCGTCCTCCCCATTGTTCAGCTCGGGCCACGTGAACACTTCCTGAGCATTTCCTAACACAGTCATGTATTTGCTCAAAATCAATATGTTCCTCTTTAAAATATTAAGGAGGAGGGAAAAGTCGATAGCCCTACATAGTTGTTGACCAAAGAAGCCAAGAACTCAGATTTTACTATAGAAAATTCAGAGCAACAGCGGGATCAGATTTAATCCCAGTAAGCAGAAATCTGCAGAAAGTTTTTCCTTCTTACTGAAGAAAACCAGTTTTTATTGGCTGTCAGGGGTCAGAGGTGCTTGGTTTGAATAAGTGAAAGCCCGTGGGTCAGAACTGCTTAGAGAGGAAACAGGAACCACTGTTTTGGTTAAAAAATAAAATTATTTTATCTACTAAACAATGACCTTTGCTAAATGGGTCATGTAGAATTCATCACAGGGTCTGACACAATGGCCACACTCAAGCGGACAGTAGCAGGTAGAGGAACCATTTGACAAATCCCTGGCTCCCAGCATGCACTTGCTACGAAGCAGTAGTTGGGTTCCTGCCCTCAAGACTAAACAACGCCCCAAAGTTAATGCCTTGGGAAGACAAATATATGAATGGAAACACAACCAAACAGAAAGGATTTGGAACGAGGTAGAATTGGGCTGTAACGACAGTTCAACTCCAGTAGAGCTGTGTGGTCATAAAAAGCCAGCTAAACTCTCAATAACCTGTCAAAAAGGGATGGTAGATATTGTAGTAAAGTTGTGAAGATTTAAGATATACTTGTATACATAAATTCAGAGTAGAAATCTGAGCACAGAGGAGGCATTCAATACATGTTAGCTGCCCTTTTTATCCACCCAACTTACCACCTGCTCTGCTTGCCCATAAAGTTAGTTTTACCTGCTGAATGACGACACACACCTGATCCCCTCTGTGAGTTTGAATGACCATGACGTTGCCACGCTCATCGAGGCTGTACAGAATTATCTGGCCGGTGTAATTTGCCCGAGGAGCACCAGCAACAAAGTGAACACTTTTCTCAGTAGAAATCGCAGCCACAGAGTAACCTACAGGAGGAGTCACAGCGTTAGTGCCCTGGCTATCTCAGACAAACAAGGTCTGCAAAATTTGTAGACTGGATCAGGGGTCCTCTCATGTTAGGTGTGATGCACTGTTCCCCGGGCTCCCGGATGTGCCACTGAAGGTGTCCCCCTATTTCTGCCACGAGCTGTTCCTGCCCTTTCCATTCTAGCAAAGCCCAGTGTAGGCAGAAACTCATCTGCACAGCCATCCCTGGACTCCTGACTCTCAGTCTCAGACTTGAAGTCTGCATTTGCTGCTTAGCAGATGGCTTAACTTCAAGCAAGACTGTAGCCTCTCTGGCTGCAGGAGTTGCGGTGGAATTTGTATGTAGCATAACCAACTTAAGGACTAGCCCTGGCAAAGGGGCTCAGAATCAGTGGTTCTTTGTAAGAGAAACAAAAATACTAGCAGCTCTAAAATAATCCAAGATTATAGTGGAGTGTGCTGACTTTGAAAAAAGATTTCCATTTTGGAGAAACACAATCACATTCTAGGGATTGCAACTGACTGGGCAGCCAGAGGAGATTTGTGTGTAAAACACAGTGCTTCAGGCAAGCACAGGGGCCAGGGTTTGATCCCTGGCACTGCATGCTGTGCCGGCTCCGCCCCCAGGTGGGGTGAGCCAGTAATGGAGTCTGGGCGTGATGGTGCATGCCTGTAACCCCAACACTGGGGAGGCAGAAAACAGGAGGATCACTACGAGTCCCAGCTGTGTAGTGAGACCCTGAAAAATAAAATCATTCAGCGCTTCATTGAGCAGCTATGGGCAGAAGCTTGGTGGGGCAGAGGCAATGTGCGTACAAGCACCAAATGTGCATACATTAGACGCCAGGGCAGAGGCTTCGCTGAGCTGACCCGAGATTCCACAAGGAGCTGGTGTAAAGGAAGGACGCGTTAGTCTGCTGAGCCATACCCTCCTATGCAGTACCTAAGTATGAGCTGTGATTTCTGTCTTGCAGAACTTGGTCAAAGGCTGCTTTAGGAAAGATGGAGTATCCGTGGGACGTCACCTGAACTACTGTCCCGCTCCAGTCGAAAGCTCCCACTGCACCCAACATCAGAATGTCCTACAATAATTGAAAAATGAAGATCAGTGAGATGAGTCACCTTTACAGTGTAAGAACAAAGTACAGGCAAAACAATGGAATAAGTTGTCTATATTTGAAGAAAACAAGCATTAATGAGGTAAAACATATATATATATATATATTTCTATGGTGATGACATACCTCAGAATTGTTTTAATGAGTTTGTACTGGAAAGCAAGCCTTACCATGGGCTATGTTATCCTGGGCTGTAATGACTCTCACATATATAGTTAATTCTTTATAAAAAGAAGCCATTACAGAGCCATCTTCAAATTTCCATTCAAACTTATACACTTGTAAGTTTTGAGCCCTTCTCAGCCTTTAGAGAAGAGTCAGAGGCAAAACCTCTAGCTATAGTTCACTGGAAACTCATAGTGAATGTGAGGCATGGCTGAGTAATAGGAAGCGCTGACGTGAGGGTGGTGAGCAGCTGCTGCTGCCTCCCAGGCCCGTCAGAGCAGGCCCCCTTCTGACCCACTGTGGTCCTTCTCGAATGTTCCTCTGACACCTATTTTGGTCCTATCAAATCCTACCTATTTGATAATGCTGCCACTACAAAGGGCTCCTCTAGCTGCCCCAGTCTATCTGCTGGAAGAAACACACGCAACAGACTTTCCTAGGTAGGGTGGTCAGAGAAACCAGGCTACTCTGTATTGGCTCAAGCCGGGTCTGAGTAGTCAGATACAAATCAGCAGGGGAGGTGGGCTGGAGAGCAGGGAAGACGCTATTTTTGATCTTAGATATTAGAAAACACAGATCATATGATTTCAGATTAAAAATAGTAAATAGGGAAGTGATGTGCCCCACCTTGAGGAGGAGAGACCAAGACATTATGCAAATGAGCATCGTAAAATCAGAGACTCTGGGCAGAGGCTCACGAATGGATTCCAGGGAATGTAGAGCACCTCACAGGATTTTATGTGAAACCCTCTGCATACAGATTCATTTACATTTTTTTCCATGGGAAGGTATCATAACTCTTAGGAGCATCTCTGAGGATTGCTGATCCAGGAGAAAGTAGCACCATTCGTTCCAGACAGAGAATGAGCTCTTTGTGGCCCTTGCTCCGCCCGAGCTCACAGCTATCCCCTCACTATCACTGTCCCCTAACTGTCCAAAGCCACTCCCTAACTGCTCCTTGACCATTTCCCAGGGCCTCACACCTCTCGGCTCTTTCCCCTACCCCATTCATATCCTGGGGAAATGAGAGGCTTGGAGTGGGTATTTCTGACCAAGAAGAAAGAAATCAGAAGACAGGCAGAGACTCCAATTCTGTCTCATATTTTTCTTAGCTCCTTAGGTTTTCAAATATTTTGTCTCTTTTCTTACAAAATGAGAACATGGCAACTCAGAATGTAACAGTGTCAGAGTTGATGAGCATGTGTGTTCTTGACTCAGGTTTGCAGTAGCTAATTGATTCAAAGGAAGTTCCTGCAGGCATCGGACTGAAAATTAATACAGGAGTGTGTAAAGTATTCCACATGCAATATATTTGCTCCCTATAGAAAATGCCTTTGAAATAGGGAAGGAAAGGTATTGTTGCCCTTAATATTTTAGGGGTAAATCAGCTGCACAAAGAAACTTAAAGACTGTAAGTTCTATGAACCAGAAATGTCAGTCACCAGGTGACTGTTTTCCTACTTTCTGCATCTTGAGGTATGAAAAGAACAATATGGCTTGAAGTTGTCTGCTATACACACATTGTGAGGAGAGTAATCCGCGCTGAATCCTACTTGGGACATTTCCAGCTGGATGTGTTCTCCTCCTTGAACAGTACCTGCAAGCACAGTTTCAGAACCTGCATTACTCTCAGCAGTTGCAACGAAAGTGTTCAAACGCAGGCAGAGATCTACAACACACACACACACACACACACACACACACACACAGAGTGCTCTAATAGCCTCCCAAAAATCTACAGCAGAGGGTCCTTGGAAGAGAAAAGCACTAAGGAAATGCTGCAGCAGAATACAGAAACCCACAAATCTTGCAAGGCAGTATGCCAAGTTAGCTTTACTATGAATTGGGCATTTGGGTATTTAATGGGGCACTCATGAAATTCCTAACATCAAAAAACGCCGACCAAAGAAGGAGATGAAGTTAAGGTGAAAACTGAAGTCATGTTTTTTTTTTTTTCATTTGTCATTACTAGAGAAACTAAGTGAATTTTTAGCTTTCAAGTGTGGTACCGCTAAATGCACAAGTTTCTCAGGTGCCACGAGAGCAGCGGGCGACTGATCGCAGTGCGGTCCTTGCTCACAGATGCGTAGGCTAGCCACGCGGAGCCAGGACCCTGGGGCGAGTAGGGATTTCACCAATTGCTAAGTCTGTCCTAGCTTTACGAAAGTGCTTTTCTCTGTGTCTACCACAGTAAAGCTCAACGAGTCCTCATTCATTTTCCAGGTATTTAATGGAAATCTAATGAAAAATTATGTCTCATTAATGCTCACAAAAAGGAAATTAAATCCTGGAGAAATTGTTCTGTATGACATGCTCTTGTTTAGAGGATGTAATAATTCACATAGAATGAATAGAGGTCATTTTTAATAAACTATCACAGTGTTTTTCAAAACTCTTTTTTTTTGCCTCCAAATTCTGTCATAGCAGATAATGTACAAAATCACTTCTAGTTAGCTTCCAGATGAAACGGAGTTGATCTGTTCCTGCCACTGAAAAGAGACTGGGTTCCAAGCATGGATGGCTTGGTAATCTTACATTAGCTCAGAGAAAATTACCTTTTTATAAGAATGTAGGCAACTTCAAAGTATCATTATATATGTGAGAAATAATAAAACTGGAAATTTTAGCGGCGAAGGAGGAGATCAAGGCTTGACTGTAGCAGTGAGCTTCTCAATTTATGCAAACCCCTTCAAAGTGGTGCTTGATGGGTAGGTGCTCAATAAAAGACTTTCTCCATTACTGAAGAACACCTCCATCCGCTGACCTTCTGGAAACAGGATGGCTCTACTAGACTAGATTTTCCAAGGCCTATGAGTGAAGTACTTTAGACCCAATAAGTATTTCCCCAAAACTGAGTCATTGAAAACTTCACTATAATTTTATAATTTTAAAAGCATATATACTCATTACAAACAAATACAAGAACTTCACAAATTTTGTAATCTAGTATAGATGGTAAAACAACGACCATAATATTGCTAAACTGTCCCCTAAAATTCATAACAATTTATCATCTTACCAACTGTGTACGAACTTCTTTGCTTCTAAGTGATCTCTCTAAATTTAAAAACCATTAAAATGTGCAATTTTCTAGATAAAACGTAATAGTGGTCGAATTTGTATCTCTAACTGAAATTGAGGATATTTTCCAGCCATTCGTATTTTCTCTTTTATAAATTATTTTATCTATTTTTTCTTACTTATCTGTAGAAGTTTCTTTTATACAATGTACACAAGCTACCATTCACAGGCCTACAATGAGATAATAAAATGTCAAGGACTAACAAACATTTTTTCAAGAAAATTCTTGAAAGGTGTTCTTTTACCTTCAATGCTGAAAATGCGTTCTCCTAATGTTCCCGCCTTTTCTAGGAGAGCCACTTCATCAGCTACGTTGAAAAAGAATCTGTCTGTGGGAAGACTAGCAATTGCTTTGATTTCTTTTATTAAATTTTTAGTATCAAGGGCATTTCGGTTTAAGTACCCAAGAACCTAGAAAAGAATAGAAGAGGAGAAAAGGTCATTTCCTCCTACCGCCTTTGCCTATCAGAGCAGTCTAGTCTGTTGCCAAACATCACCCATGCTCTGGAGAAGCAAATCAAGCAGCAGTCCTACAGGCATTTGTTTAGTTGACTGAAGATCGGCAAGAAGTAGAGCCAGAAAAGCCCATTTATGACAAACTAAGCACCAATGAGAAGAGCAGGCTGGAAAAATAATGCCATCAAGAGCCATACATCCATGAACTGTAAAACAAGTACGAAGAAAGCCACTTACTGCTATGCCAAACCTCAGGATGTTGTCGCTGTTGCACTGCTCAATCACAGACTGCAGCTTGGAGCCATCGTGTGACTCCCCGTCGGTCACAACCACCATCACTTTGGTAGCACCCGGCCGGCCTCCAGAAGCTGCCGAATAAGCAAAAGTCCTGTGGTAGAGAGAAGGCTCCCGTCACCGCATGAAGGCAGCAGGTTTGAAGCAGAAATAAGAAACCAGCTTCCTTAAACCCAACCTCATGAGGTGGGATTGTTGATATGGCTACTAAGAGCGCTCTACTTGTAGCTGTAGAATATCATAAAAATAGAATCCTCGCTTGATATTAAAAAGTACTTTCATGGCATGTGTGTGTGTGCATGTGCGTGCGTGGGGTGTGTGTGTGTGTGTGTGTGTGTGTGTGTGTGTGTTTATTCCAGGATTCCTTAGAAAAATTTCTTATAAGAAAATTAAATTCATTAACATTAGTCAACAGAGCAAAGATCCTGCTGTCATAAAATTCACTCGCTGGGCCGGTGTATACTTTTCAATGCAATTACTTTTCAAAAAGTGATACAGACACATGGCCAAAAAAAAAAATTAAATTATTTCAAAAGGCATAAACAAAAATGTGACACCAGGCCCCTGTGCAGGAGTAACAACTCATTTCAGTCTCTCATGCTTCTGCCTAGAAAGCGTTCTATTTACAGGAGAGGAGTATGCATAGTCTACTTCCTAAACGTTTACACAATGAAGGGCATATTTTAAAAGCAGGTCTTTTTTTTTCATTCTTATAGAAAGTTTCTGCATCAGGACACAGACAGCCCCATTCTTTTCACTGTCTACATGATATGTCACTTTTTGGAGAGACCAGTTAATTTAACTCATGCTTCATTATTGGAAATTGGGGCCGTTTGGAGGTTTACAAGTAATGCTGTAACAGATGTCCCCATGTATGCATTCTTTCATGGTTTTTCAAATGTGTCGGTGGGATACACTGTTAGTAAAAATATTAGGGCACAGTTTATACATACACATCGAGTTCTAGTAGACAATATCAGCTGTAGTAAATAAGATTAATTCTAGAAGATAACATCAATTTATATTACCTTTTGTGTAATTGTAAGAATGCAACTACCCATTCCCTGGCAATGAAGATTATTAAAATTTTTAAACTTTGGATTTTTGATTATTGAGAAATAATATAATAAGATGTTCCTCTGTTCATTGACCATCTTTTGAATTTCACTATATTCAAATGTTCTGTGTTCATGTAATCAAAGTCATTAATCTTGTCTCTTTTATTCTTGACTTGGTATTTTACAGAGCTATAACTAAAGACTTTTTTTAAGTCACAAGTTTCATAAACTTTTTAAAAAATCTTTTTATTTATTTATGTATTTAGTACAAGGTCTCACTATGCAGCTCTGATCCTCCTGGCTCAGCCACCCCAACACTGAGAGTATAGCTGTGAACCTCTGTGCCTGGATTCATTGGCAGCACAGTGTACCCAGGGCTGGACCAGAGCAGCGTGTGCTACTGGGGATTGAACTTGGGTCCTTGCACTTGCGAGGCAGGCACGTAGATTGCTGAGCTATCTCCCCTGCTCTCATAAACTTTTAATGGTTTGATTTTCTTAGATTTGAAATTTTGGTCCAGTTGAAATCCACTTTGCTGTGAAGAATAAAAGCAAATTTTCAGATTTATTTGGTTTCCAGATACCTGGCCGGTTGTCTGACAATTTATTCTCCCTCTGTATACTGGGCTGTCCTGTTCCACATTCTTCCTGGGTAATGTCACCTACTCTTTCAGATGAATTACACCTATTAGATCCTTTAACACCTATATATTTTCTGCTTGTCTCTTTCACATTCATATTTATAGATTCAGCGCTTAGTAGGTCTTTTTGCCTGAATGTCAGGAGCAGTCAAAGTCAATGATCTTAAAGCTGAGCTTATCATTTATTTCTGAAACATTTTATGTATTTTTATTATAAAAAGTAGAACCATAGCAAACTTTCCCATAGCTGCCAGCCACACACACACGTAAGTTACAACACTCACACCAAATCCCTCTTGGGTGAAGGATACCCTTTATGACATACTGTACTGTTGATTTCAAGCATGTTCATAAAGTTTTGAGGATTGAAATAGTATCTCCTTTAATTCTGATTCCCTGTAGACCCTGGCGCAATAAATTACAACCTTAGCTATTCAGAAGGAAGGTGAATGAAAACATGAAAGCAAACAGTATTTGCTCAAAGTGTCAGAAACACATTGAGTATTTTGAGGAGAGGGAGGGAGGTAAGAGATAAAGAAACGAGTAAGAAGTTAGACTCTTCCTACAATAGGAACTAAGTCATGTCAGCCCGGGAAAAAGTGGTGGCACAAAGAAGGAAGAAAAGTTTGGAGAAGATGATGAAAGCCAGACTAGTCCTTTCTTGACAGTAACCGTCACCCTGGAGAGAAAGGCTGGCCGGACCTCTAGCTGCTTCTGGTGGGAAGTGCTACTCCCTGTGCCCCTCTGGGAACAGGCGCCCTATGCGGCTCCCGTTCTAATGAAGTCACCTTGTAACCCAACTGTATCTTCTCCTCTTCACCCAGCTTACTGGACCAGAAAGGACACTTAGCCTAATGACAGCTGGCATACTGAACAGCAGCAGGGCACGAGGTGACTCGGCCCAAAATGACAACTAAGTAGAGACAACAATGATCAAACCAGCTGTATCTTCTCTTATGGTAAATCAGCCTCTGGGACATGAGGAGGGCCATCAGTTGGTGGTAACAGCAACTCAAAGGTACCCAGAAAAAGCAAAGAGAGAGACCAGGAAATGCAGGAAGAGAAATGCAGGCTATGGTGACTGAACAGATGTGTAATCAAGGGAGAAATGGAAAGAAATGAAGGAAACAATGGTGAAAATAGTCATTGTGTCTGAGTGTCTGGGAGAGTAGGGAGTGGCAGGAGCAAAAATGACAAAGTCATGAGGACTGGCAGGGAAAGGAATAAGGCCATCTCAGGACATGCAGAATTTGATAAGAGAGCCAACACTCCCAATACAGCTCTTTAGTGTCACTAGTCACGTGACTGCTGGGAGAGGACTCAGGGCTGACCATGTAGCAACGGGGTGACCCATGCTGATGTTACAGGAGGGGATGCAGTTCCTAAGCTATGAGGAAGACAGGCCACTGTTCAATGGAGAAAACTAGGAGAGAAAGCCAATGAAGAGGCAGAAGCTGCTGACAGGAAGTTGGCAGGGATCCCAGAAGCTTGTGATGTGACCATTGGGTTCAGAAGAGCAGTGTCTGTGCAGATTTGTCCAACTTTCATGAGATGAGAGGATGAGCCCTGAGGCAGGACCACTGGGCTAGACAGACCCACAGGCCAGGCTGGCCTGTGGAGGAGCTAAGGGCTCCTGGGAAGGAAGGGAAGGGAGCAGAGAGAGCTTTTCCAAGGAATGATGGTATTGGGAAGGAGCTACTCCCAAGATGAAGAAGGCACAAAGTGGGTTTAAAAGGAAGGAAGGCAAGGATATATTCTCATTCTCTCTCTCTCTCTCTCTCTCTCTCTCTCTCTCTCTCTCTCTCTCCCTAACAGTTGAAAGGAACAGCAGTTTTATAAAGGTATCAGGTTAAATAAAGTAGAGGTGGAACTAACAGAGCTGAAAAAATAGGGAAAGACACACACACACACACACACACACACACACACACACAAAAAAAGACTAAGCTTGGAATGAGACTGTGTTGCGTAGCTGTAAAGTTCACTCTTCCCATTGGTTATGCCAAGTACAGCAAACTCATTCAATGCAATTCAAGCCAATATGTTTAATTCTATGACTCAATAATTTGCATAAAATGCTCATTGGCTTAATTTGTGTGATGTTTTGACAAATATTAAAGGGCAGATTCCTTCATTTCTTAATATTTTAATCTAAGATCTGATCATTTCATTTAACTCAAGTAAAGGAATACAAAAACCATGTCTTATCTTATAAAAATCCTAAAGCCAAAGATTTTTCACTTCATTTCTGAAGTGTTCTCTCAAATTATTCAAGTCAATGCGCAGGCATGTCTTCTTTATTAGTTCTGACTTAAGTATGGCTTCCAGATATATATATATATATATTCTTTTTCCTCTTAGCATATCTATCGTGCCAAAATGCTGGCCTTTAACATCAAAACTTACCTTGCATATTGAATTGCTTTGAAAGTATTTGTGAGGTCCCCACCAGATTGGAACGTCTGAGACGTTGCTCGAATCATTTCCTCTTTGGTTTTAAAAGTATTCAGGTTATATACAACTCTTGGTTCATTGCCATATTGGATCAAGGCAACCTTCAAAAGAGTGGAATCTTATTAATGGCTGCCATTACATTATAATTAATTTCTACTTAGCCAATACAGTAAAACCCAAAAGTACATTTAGCGTGGTCTGATGGGTTAAAGACGAGTTCTATTTTTTCCTTTAGGCTTAAATTTCTTTCAGTGGAGTGACTTCTTCAGTAGAGCTCTTCAGCGTGCAGCAGTACTACTGCCGAGAAAGATGATGTGTATCAACACATGACTTGCTTTGCAGGAGTGAGCACGGCAGAATTTTTCATGAGTGACTCTAAAATCTTGGATATTGGTGAACAGCACAAGGTTTATGAAACACAGATTAGAATGGCTCTAAGTAAACTTCCCAAGTGCAGTGGACATGGGGTTGCAGGTAACTGTAAGCAACCCTAAATGTAGGGGATTCTCATCTACCTAGGGAAATGATAGAATAAAGAATCAGAGCTGAATACAAAGAAAGAAAGAAAGAAAGAAAGAGAGAGAGAGAGAGAGAGAGAGAGAGAGAGAGAGAGAGAGAGAAAGAGAGAGAGAAAGAAAGAAAGAAAGAAAGA